AAATAATGTTATTTTTAGCAGCATCATATGACCCCTTTAAGGCAGAAGAAGAAAAAAAACTGAATTAATCAGGTTTTCCATCACTGTGGACTATTTTCCACATAACAGTAATGCGAATATTGGTACAGAAAATTGTGATAAATGGATTACAAATTTAGGACCTTTTAAAAAATATATTTTTTGTATTGCAACATTTTTAGCCCATTACATTGAACACAACTATTTTCATTAATTAAAATGAATGCAATCCATTTTTTTTTTTTACTAAAATAGATTTCTTCATGTAAAATTATAAATAAATGTTTTTGTTTTCATTTTGGAATTAAATACTTTTTGGTTAATAATTTTGGAATTTTTTCACACTACTGACCTGAAGCATGCTGAGGTCTTTATCGAACATCTCCACTCTACACTTCACATTGTGATAATAATAGATCTGCAAAAACAATCCAAGAAAAAGCACAATATGTTTTATGAAAAGGCATTAACACTGCTAAATGTCTTCATTATTAAAATAAAACACATTTATAAGCTTCTTACTTGATTGACCAAAGAAAAGCCATTTCTTCTCCACATTCCAGCATGCACCTGGGCACAGAGTACAAGGCAGCGAAGCGGATGCTCGATCAACATGGGTGGACTCAGTTCACTCTGTGAAAGACAAAAGAGGCCTCAGAAATCACCAAGACTGTTTTGCAACAATTCTCATGAACCAAAACCCCCAAACTTACCAGTGGCAGCTGCTCAGGAAATCGATAGGCAACCTCAGTTGTGCTCAGCAGAGCATGTAAACCTAACAGGAAGAGAGAGTTGCGGCTCAGTTAATATGTGATGTGGTTACTTCCATCAACCACTGCAATTTCAAAAGTGAACTCTTATATTCCATACACACACTCAATGATAATTCAAAGAACTCTACCAGATTTATTCTCAATTTTGTAGCATGTATATGGCCTTACTGCACTGTGTGAAAACATGTTCGACTGACCTGCTAAAAGCCGGGACACAGGCAGGTGTATGCTGACTTTCTCCTGAGAAACGCAGTAGCGGATGGTGTCGACGGAGTGGCCGCACATGCTGAGGGTTATGGGCTGCTCCCCATCTGTGAAACCACTGTGGCAGTGAGTCAGCGCACTCAGGCACTTCTTATAGGCTTCGATCAGCACTCGCTCCTGTACATGTGACAAATAACAGACTTATATCAAGGCCCCATGGTGCATTATGGGTACTAAAGTGACTCTGTGTCTAACATGCACTTACATCACTGGCACACCATTCCTGCATCATAGAGATGATATGTGTGAGCTTCATCTGTAAGGTGAACGCTGCCTCCCATTCTGGCTCCATCTCTATGTGCTGCCCCACCTGACGCACTACAGGGTCCATTCCCTGCAAAGAGGACACACACACACACACACACA